TTCTTTTGTCTTTTTGAGACAGGGTCTTGAGATGCAGTTCAGGCTGGCCTTGAGCTCACTTTGTAGCCCAGGCTGGTCTTGAACTTGAACTCACAATGATCCTCCTGCCTCAGCCTCCTGTAGGCTGGGATTATATGCATGTGCCAGTGTGCCCGGCTTCTGTATATTAATTTTGGGAAGATGTCCCTTTTGACTATTTTGGCTCTGCCTATACAGGAACAGGGCCTTTCTTTCCATATTCCAATGTCCTCCTCAGTTTTCTTTTTCAGAGTACTGTAGTTTTTGTTGTAGGTGTCTTTCACTACCTTAGGTTAATTCCTAAGTATGTAATATTCTTAGTGCTATTATAAATGGTATTTCCCCCTAATTTCTTTCTCAGTGAGCTCATTATGAGTGAATAGGATTGCCACTGATTTTTGAGTGTTGATTTTGTATCTCACTACATTTCACTAGTTCTGTTATTATTTCTAAGAGTTTTTTGGTGAATTTTAAAAGTCTTTTATGTAGAAGATCCTGTCATCTGCAATTAATGATAATTTGACTTCTTCCTTTTCTATATGTACATATCCCTTTTATTAATTCTCTTGCATAATTGTTTTCACTAGTATTTCAAATACAGTACTGAATAGAAGTGGAGATTATGTGAATGTCATGTCTTCGATAGTGGAATCCTTGTCTTGTTCCTGATTTTAGAGGGAAACCTTTCCGTTTTTTCCCATTTAATATGATGTTGACAGTAGGTTTGTCATAAATGACTTTTATCAAACTGAGATAAGTTTCTCCTATACCTATTTTCTTCATAATTTTTATCATGACAGGATGTTGGATTTTGTTAAAGGCTTGTTCTACATCTGTTGAGATGATTGTGTGATTGTTGTTCTTGCTGTTTATGCAATGTATTACATTTCTTGATTTGCTTATGTTGAACCATCCTTGCATCCCTGGGATGAAGCCTGCTTGGTCATGATATATGATCTTTTCCATGATCAAAACTACTTTTAATGGTAATTTTACAGTCCAGTGATCCCTGGATCATGTAAGTAATAAAAGTTGCTCAGGTTTAGGTGAGGAAATACTCATGGTCGTGAATTCCAGGGAAATTTTTTCTGCTCAGAGCCTAGGATAAGTTACGTAGGCATTACTCTAATCTCTCCGGGTAGCTCACTGATGGTTTGCTACTTGCCTTTCTAGGAGGGCTACCCTTTGTGGTCATGACTTTATGTGCTGTTCTTATTCCCCACACTATTCCTTACAGATGCAGGGTCTTCTATCTTTTTCTAGCATATGAATGAAAACCTCAGTTCCTAAACTCAGCTTCTGCTGGTGCTCTTATCCCCCTGGCTTGCAGTTATCCCTCTGGCTTGCAGTTCTTTCTGTTTTCAGCCTCCAAGGATTTTCTTTACTTTGCTGTGAGCTCCACTGTGCCTTCAAAATGCACTTTAACATATGCTATCTAATATTTTTAGATAGCTTTGTAATAGGAAGGATTTCAGATGATCTAGTGAGCCATATTACCAGTAGCATATTCTGTACATACAATTTAAAAAAGACTCTGCCCAGTAGGAATGATTGTACCTGTACAGTTGGAGGACTAGCTCCTCATTCCAAAGGATGAAAGAAGTGTGAAAGGGGTTGGGAGGATGGTGGGTGGGAGGGCGTGGCAGACAGGGCAGTTGTAAGGGAGCATCCTCTTCTCAGGTGTCCTCATCCGCACTGGTCCCATGCTATTCAGCTGTGGTCCGTGGGCCTGTACCTGCAACATCACCTGGCAGAGTTTACTGGAAATGCAGTCTCAGGTCCCATGCTGGACCAATTGACTGAGAATCTACATTTTAGCAAAATCCCCAGATGATCTGCATGCATACAGAACTTTGAAAAGGGCTGACTTAGGCTATTTCTGATATAACTGCCATCCGCAGGATGATTACGTCTTTGGAGTTAATGACCTTCTTTCACTTTTGTCATCGTTTGTGGTTTAGCTCCCCCCCCCCCGCCCTGAGTTAACTTTAAAGCTTTTTAAAGCGCTTCTCTGAAATGGCTTTGTAATGAAGTTTTGGGGGAAAGTTCTTATTGGTGATGTAATACATTGAGGAAATGTTAACGTGACATATTGTCATATCGAATACGACAGCAAAGACTTACTTAGCCTGCAGAGCAAAGCCCTTATGAAATTGTCAGGGCATTTGCTTTCTTGTCAGCTCTAGAGGTTGGAGAACTGGGAAGAGAAGAAGCATCTTGTAATTCAGTACAGACAGATCAGTTTCACTGGGGTATTTTCCCTGCATACCTAGCATCCCAATTTCCAAGTATTCCTTGATTGTTGATCTGACAATTGGACTTAGTAGGATTGTGCTAAATTAGGGAAAAGTATCTTTTAAAAGCAGATACAAAAATAAAACAAACTGGAAAATTACCTAGAGACCATACAAGTTGCTTTGATGGCTTCACCTGCTAGAATTGTTGTTTAATTCAGCTAGCAGAGAATTTACCAGTATGTCCGGGACACATAGGGTTGGGTTGACCTCTACAGTGAAACCCTCCTGGGTAGACACCTTACCTTTTTGTTCATTGCTGTATCTGTAGCTCTTAGTGGCTGGCATATGGTTGATGCTCAGTAAATTTTTTTTTGACTGAGAGAATTAAGCTTTAATTGACAAACAGACCAATAAATTAAGTGCTGAGTTAGTTGTTAGCCTGAAGGATCTTAAAATTTATTTTTCCTTACTTTTCTATGAGGACTTGATAGGTACATTGTTGGATATTTACAATTAGAATAAGAAGAGTTCTCTATGTCCACCAGTCAGCATAAGTTGAATTAACAATGGTGTGCCATGAAGCTGTGAAAGGAGTGAATATTTTTCATGTGTGTGTGTATGACTACATAGTGATATATATCCATAAAGGAAACAGAAATCCTTAAAACTGAAATGAACTGAAATAAATAATCCTACACGTGTTTCTGGTTGGCTGTACAACCACAGAGAGAAAAGGATTACTATTTCAAAGGTTCAGACACAATATTTTGAGTCTGCACCCCTAGAAGGAGATATATTCTGAAGACAGAAAACCAAAAAAAAAAAAAACACCTCACCAAAAATCCAAAAAAGAAGACTGTTGGGGATAAAAATAATATTGCTATCTTGAAATTATAACTGTAAAATATCACATATACCTAGTAAAATAGGTAATGTATATTAGTATCACTCGAAACTAAGATTTTCAACCTAAGGACAACAGAGTACTGTACAAGAAGAGATTCTGTTTCAGGACACTGGAATATCACGTTTGAATTGGAAGTAGAGTACTATTTTGAATTCATGATTTGTTTTTCTCTCTCCAAAAAAGAAAAAGGAGCATTTCCTAGTTCTGTCCATTGAAAAGGCCTCAAAACAATGGCAACTCAGCAGTTAGCCCTTTACACACTGAGACAGGCTGCCTAAGTGTCGTTGTCCCCGGAAGAATGCGAGTCTGCTTTGGAGAAATGGCTGATCCCCGCCCCTGGGCACGACGTGTCCTGGGGAGCCTAGGCCATCTTGTGCCCAAAAGCAAGGAGGCGCCCAAGAGTGACTATAATGGATTTAATTACACCGAACATGTAAATATCTTTTAGTTTGGGAAAACGCCTTAAAAGAGATTCTCATGACAGAAGGCTGCTAGCTTGTCCACCCATTACTCTGAAGGGAAAGAAATTTTTTTTTTTTAATTTTTTTTTTTATTTTAAGGATAAAAAGGAGGGAAACATTAACAGACATACAACATTTTACAACATATCACAAGCACAATACAGACAATACAGAGTTACAAACAAAGTGGTAGGGAATT